GTATATTTTATATTAAATGTTTCCTGCAATTTGACTTTAAACAGGTCTGAAGGGTCTTAATAAGTGGCTCAATCACTTACATTTTGCTCCTTTCCCTGGACCAAGGGAGGAGGTTCTGTATCAGTCTGCAAAGTCACTTAATTTACCATCAGGTGAGGAAATTCTGCCATACACTGTAATATCTACAATACATTTGTTCCTGGAAATTTTGGTAGCTGATACTAAATGCACATTCTTAATGGAGCTGGTAAATCCAAAAGAAGCCTGGAGTATTTGTAGATTGCTATTTTGATGTGTGATTAGACAGCTATTTTGCATATTTTGTGGCTATTTAACCCTGTTTTACTTGGAACTATGATTATTAGAAGAAATGAGAAAATACTTTTAGGTTTTTGAATTCCTGGTTTCAAATTTATGAGGTTGGTTTTCTTTATCTTGCACTGTTGTGCAAGGTCCCTCTTTGTGTATGTACTGTTATCCTCTGCAGTTTCCTTAACTACCTTCCTTGTTTCATGTGCAGCTACCAGTATTAGAGAGAAATTCACTGCCAAGATGTAGCCATAAAACACCTGTCTCAGGCATGGGTTCTGTTTTTCTTGTGCTATCCCTCATCTCTATTCTTAAGTTCATCCTTCATTAAGTAGGGTTTTCTGGTGCTATCATTTAAATGATATTGTATGTAACTTGATCTTAAAAAAGATAATTTAAAATATTAACAGAGAATAGCTTTGTTTTCTCTGTGAAATACTGTAATTTTTGAGTGAAATGTCATATAATATAGCTATGTCCAGATTTTTGGAGGAGTCATTAATAATGAAAGCATAAGCTTATCTAACTAGTTATAACATATTTGTCAAAAAGCTATGTAATAGATTGTTATCTTAATTCTTCTGGCAGAGGGATGCAGTAATTCAGAACTCTTTTACATAATATATTTTAAAATATATATACATGCATCTACTGTATATTGTATATCTACTGTATACTGACAGATTCACACACAGCAATAGATATATATTTGTGTGGGGAGACACAGATTTTCTTTTATCAGACTTTTTAAAATTTCAGCAATCTTTTTGTTGCTACTCTAATTAATATACTATATATTAACTTCAAATTAAATTTGTGATCTGCCTGTAATAAATGGTTTACACATAATAGGGAGAGATTACTTTGCCAGTGATATCATGGCCCAAATAGATGTACCAGATAAGAAGAAGAAAGGAAAAATAGTTATTCCCCACTAAAGCAGCATTTACTGATAGAACTGTCCCGTGGTCTGGTCTAACTCCCAGGAATTACACATGCAGAGAAATTCAGCAGTGCCAGGGAGTGCATCCCAGTGGCAGTGCTGTTCAGAAGAGCCTTGGGACAGTTTTGCCTCAAGGCTAGCACTTTCCCAAAGACTTGCCAGGCACTGTTTAATAAGCTGCCACACTGTGTTGGGTGAAATATCAACATGGCCAGTCCAGGGTGAGCAGCACTATGGTCACAGCTTCTGTTTGTTAAATTTTTTAAATGAGAGGGAGAAAAAAAACTGTATCAAAAAATGACATTAAATTCAAATTTCTTTTGTCTCGTTTCAGTGTCTTTCTAGATCGTTACCCTTATTTAGATGACATTTTTCTTAAAAATCACTCTAAAGTGACTAAGGCTGTGTTTAAAGAACAAAACAAGCCCTTTTAACTTTGTCAGACAAATATCACAAAATGTTACTTGATTAGTTTCCAGCTTTGATGTGTTTTATTTTTTGACAAATGAAAAAAAGCTAAAGATAGCTGATTCACTAATAAACTTTTAGAAGGCTCCCAAATTAGATCATATCATTAATACTCAACTTATGAGCATTTATATTTGCAAACTTGATAGCAAATTCAGTCCACACATTTTAGGAACACTAAATGCTCTTTAGGAAGAAATTAAGCTTGAGGTTTCTGTAAACTTCTTTAATTTATTTAATTACTGATATTCAATAGTTTTTAAAAGAAAAATTCTCACACTTTCACAAAGAAATCCTTGACAAAGAAATTAACAATGGTTCTTGCTTTAAAAATGTCAGAAATGGAATGGAGGCAATTATGTTTTGAAACGGAATATTTATTTTTGAAATAACAGTATAAGCTCCTCAGTTTACTCTGTTCTCCTTCAAATAAGTCTGCAGCTTTTGCTTGTATCATCTTTTGCCTTTTAAAAAATCCCTATGTATCTATAAAGTGTGAAGATTCTGCTGGCAAAAGTAACAGGTAAGAAAGCAGCTGTCAAACAAAACACTCTTCTTCTGCCCTCCCCGCTTTGCATGGAGAAATTCAAGTAGGAGAAAGCAGGATAAGAATACTGTGATTGAAGAATAAAACTCTCCCAAATCCACTTTCCTCCTTCATAGGTCAGCACTTGTTGATATTGGAAGCTGTTTGCCTGAGGAATAACCACAAGCCTCTTGATGATTTGTGAAGAAATCTGGAGTTCATTTGTGTAAAAGGAAGGAATGATGCCCTGTTTTATTCTACCAGCATCTCACAGCCTTTCTGCTCTTAAACCTACAGAGTTCTGTGCCCATGGTAGTAAATCTTTGTGTCTAGAGGTGGGCTTAGGTCCTCTCATCAATTAATTAATGAAGGTTGTGTCTGAAGGATATTAATGGAAACTAGATTGGCTGGGGAGTCCTAATAGAACTGTGCTTGTGAATCTGAACTATGAATTTCAACATTCCTTCTGTGTATGAGAAGAAAAAAGCATGCATCACCTATAATTTGAGAAAAATTTGCAACCTGCTTTGTTGTTTTTTTTCGGTAGACCTCTCATTTGAGAAACTTGTCTAAGGATATATGTTAGTCCTCTAAGCACTTTGGTAATTGTGGCTTCAGCACTTGTACCTTTCTGTCTGCTACAACATCTAGGTCTATCACTCAGCAGCATTTGAGGCATTTCTGAGTACATAGAATTTTTGTGTTCTACACCTAATTCAGTTGTTTAGGCACGGAAAGACAAATACTGTAATTCTGTACATCAAACTCACAAAAAAAAATTCAGATTTCCTTTCAGTTCAGTGCCACACCTCCCATCTGTGAGATGACTCTGTCACACTCGTATGGAGACAGCAAGACTTCTCATAGCTTAGGCAGGTGGCAGACTCCATTTAGTATACTGTGATTCAGCTGCAAGAAATTTCTTTTTGGGAAGCAAAAAAAAAAATCAAAAAAAGGAAATTTATGCAGGATGTCATGTGGAAAGATCTCAGCCTCAAGATTAGGTGGACTCGTGAGGGTACTTTCTTGAAAGCACATGGCTGCACCCCACTGCCTTCAGATATAATGTGACAATGCTTCAGAATCAGCCTCAGGAAAAAGGAATATTGCTCATTTTTTGTGTTCCCTACAGAAGTTGATTATTGAAAGAGCTTACCTGCAATTTCCAGTGGCGTCTGTTGTGGCTTTTTACATTTTTTTAATCGTTACACATCTTGTGATTTCTGAATTTAAACAAATTCAGAGGAAAAATAGTAAAAAATGTAGAGAGAGTACAGACAAATAAAAGGGAGCTTATATTGTTGGAAATCTTAACTTGTTTGGTAATCGTCATAGTGCTATAATTTTGGTCCTTATAATCAGTTCCATGGCTTTTTTTTTTTTTTTTTTTTTCCCTTTTTCTCCAGGAGTTAGAATTTTGCATTGGAACCCAAAATCTGGATCTGTTGCAGGACTCTGATCAAGAAAGTGAGGAACAGCTGAAGCAAAACCTCCAAAGGCACATCACCACGTAGGCCCATGGTCTTGCCTCTAAGAATGCACTGAAAGTATTGGTGTTCTATTTCCACTGATGAATTTGTGTGTTTCTAACTTCTGGAAGCAGAGATTGTTCTAATAGGTTAGAAATCTGTGGATGCAGATTGGTTTCAGTGGAAGAAGCAAAGCACTGAGCATAGGTAATTAGCTGATGTCCTGTGTTCTATTTAAGGAATGTGAGCTAGCTAGCACACAGGCCACAGGTCCCCTGGGTCTATTTTAGGTTCCTCACACGGGCCCCTTTCCACATGACCCTCTGGGCTTGGAGAAGGCAGCTTGTCCTTACCATCAGCAGGCTGGCTGCAGCTGCAGCTGACAGGCACGCATGGGTGATGCCTAGCTCAGGCTTATGATCTTTGTCTGTTCTTAAATTTTCCTGTGCCACTTCCTTTTGGGAAAAGTAGAGATAATTGCTTTCCTCATCATTAATATGGAATTCCTGAGCACTAAGACCTCTTTGGCTTTGGGGATTTTTTTTTTGTGTATTAAGGAACTTACTTGGTATTACAAATGAAAGCCTTTTACAGGAGTCTGATGTGCTCACTCCCTGACTTAGGCCCATAGTTCATCCACCTTTCTCAACCCATAAAAAAGACCTTGGCTGGTGTCCTGTATTTTATCTCCTCTCTTTGGGAATGTCAATAACTTAAAGGGAACCCCCAAAAGTCTTTGCTCAAGACAAGGTTTTTCTGAACTTTTTTTTTTCCTTACAGTCCTCCATATAAAGACTTTTTGCTATGCCTGCCTCTACCCCTTCTCTTTTAAAGTTTATTCAAGTATGTAATCTCCCTGCTGCTCTTTTCTTCCAACATATACCAGCTTGATGCATTTTTTTCCACTCGTGTATTAGCCCACTGTGTGCTGTACATGTATACAGAGAAGGAAGTCCTGCTTCCCTTTCCTGCAAATCCACACCCAGAGGAAAAGAGGTACATCATTAAAAAGGTGTGCAAGTATGTTTGGCTAAGGTAACAATTAAGTGCTTCAGTTTGCCCAGGATGGAGAAGTCCAGGTAAATTTGAAATCTCACCAGTTGACAGACAAAACTGAGGTTGTTTTTTTTTTGTTGGTTTTTTTTTAATTCACATTCAAGGAGTTTAAGTACTTCTGCATTATCTAATATGGTATCTGTGGTTACAATTGGCTATCTAGTCTCATAGAAAAAAAAAAAAGACAAGAGGGAGAAGATTTAAAGGATAACAGCTTAAGCAAAAATGATGCAATTTCAATTATTAGGTTCTAATTTTTTAGTAGGTCATATACAGCTTTACTGTTTTGGGATCTGCTAAACAAAGTTGTTTTACTTAACCCTTGAGTAACACAGGCAAAGAAACGGAAAATAGCAAAATCAGTGTTTTAAGATCAAAACCAAGAAGTTTAGAACAAATGAAATATAGATGGCTTTATTGGATTTAATTACATGGGAAAATGAATACCTAGAACACAAAGTACCATAAAAATATAAACACATTTATTAGGACAATGTTTTATGAATCTCAGATATACATATTGTTAATATGAAAAACAAGTCTAGACAGAAAAATACTATTCCACTTGAAGAGCTACTATTTTGCAATTGCTTCAGTACATTTTTCAATGACAGCACAAAAGCAAATTTTAAAATCTCTTCTTCTGCTCCCTGAATGCAGAAGAATTTACTGTCCCACTTGTGTGAGCTGCAGCCCTGTCTGGCACAGCTCTGTGTACTGAAGGATAAAAAGGGATGGAAGGAAGGCAGAGATAATACATTGAAGAGGCAACTCGTTTTGACAATATAGTATTAAAAGAATTAATATGTCCATATTTCAGCAGTAGTATTTTAATGCCATTTACTTTTCCATCTATAGAGAAAATGTTCCTTAAGTTAGAGTTTTGAACTAACCCTTCTGAAAATAAATTAATATTCTAGTATATCTGGCTATAATCTCAGTATATTCTATTTAATAAAAAAAAGTTCAGTTTTCATAAAAATCCTGTCTCATAAAAACTAAGTCTCCTGAATAAGTGTACTGAACTCAGCAAGATCATGGCAAAACCACTGTAATTTAATTATCTGACTTGGAAATCTAATTAAAGTATATTTAACTGCATCTTGTAGCATACTAAAAAATATCATGTTTATTACTACTGGTGTTAAAAAAAACTTATACAGGACTGAAGTTTGGTCTTTTATTACTGAAAACACAAATCCAGTTAAGACTTCAGACAAGCTCTCATTAACATGTTTTATTTCAATTTTATTCAGAGCTGAAACAAGAGCTTCATTTACAGCTGAGGAAAGCAAAGATGAAACTTTGTTCTTTCTTTTGTGCTCAGCCATACAATTTATTTTTCTCCTGGCAATGGATTTTAAATCTTTCCCATTTTTTTTTTTTTAATGGGAACTGTTTTAGTAAGCACTGACATTAGAGCTGACAATGCTTTGTGTGGTTTTCTTTCCTTTTGCCTGGTTTCTGTGTCTGTGTGTGCAGGCATGCATTCATTAACGTAATTCCTCAACATTCAACAAGAGTGCATCATAAACCAGAGGAAAAAAGCCTCATAAATATTTAGATCCTCCACCTACCTTCCAAAACTAAAGTGAAAAAGAGTATTTAGTGTGGACTTGGTTTGAGTTAATCTGCATATGAACTGAAAGGGGGTACAAAAGGATGAAAAGGTAGTGGAAACGAGCATACAAACCCCATAGTCTCCAGGGGGCCATTCATCTTGTTCTTGTCAATACAATCTCAGTCTCACTGCTTGGCTGTGCTCTGCGCATGACCCAGACTGCCTTTGCAAAGGATGTGCCAGCTTTAGCATGGTTTGCTTCTAGCGGGTAATTTTGCCAGAGGAGAAGAAAAATATTTCACATTTAGGAAGCTGAAGAAATTTATCTACCTGTTTGTGGTCCACACATTGACATACAAACTTGAATAATTTACATAAAAGGACAAGTAGGTTATGTGAAAAGCAATTTTAGGTAATTTGACAATTAATGAGAGGTAATGACATCACGACATAGCTCAAAGCATGCTAGAAACCCATACAACTTGTACCAAGGTTTGTATATATTTACATATAACACTCCACTATTTCTAACAAACAACACTGTCAAAAATTACAGGTGAAAAACCAGGCCACAAATAAAACTCACTGATTTAGTGAACTCTCACAATTGAACAGTCACAGAATAGTTTAGGAATCTGTAAATTGTTTTTATATATTTTAATTTTTAAAAATGAAGGCATGTGTAATACATTATTTTTTATGATCTGACAAATTAATTTTGAGTGATTACATCATACTACCTACATACAAGGACTTCTGCCCTACAACTGCTGGTTTTAGGTATTCTTTTCAGCCAAAAGGGCATAAAGACAACTAAAGTCTATTATCAGACCGAATTAATGATTTCACAAAAAACAAAACTCTTGATCATAAACAGCCAAAACAGAACTTTTTTTTTTTTTGTGAAGACAAACTTATAATGAAATAGTGTAACTTACTGAATTAATCACACTCCACATCAGTCAAATGAATTACAGCAAAGTTATATAAATACTACATGGAAAGTGGTCAGTTTAGTCACATAATCACTTCTTTTACTACACTGCTAATCTATTATGGAATTGTGAGACCAGGAAAAGTCCAAGCATACTATTTTCAAATTAATCTCTATTTCAGCCTCCTCTTTAAATGAACTCAGCCAAAGTGGGGCTATTTGGTTGGTTGGTTGGTTTTTGTTACCAGACCCCCTCAAAACCCGTCAATGACCACACCAAAGTGACATCAGGTACAAGCAGGAGCATGCAAGCTGCTCTGACTCCCCAGCTCATCACCTGCTGCCACTCTGACATGCAGGACTCCACCTACACAAACTCCTAATGAAGCACCAGGATGTATCTGTAGCTAGAGGGATAATTGATTTTGCTATGAACCTGTAAGACAGGTGCATACAAGCTTCAAAATGGGAGAAAAGATCAATTATGCCTCTAGTAATGAAAATCAGATGGATAGCTATAAATAGACCACCTGGAAGGAAAGCCAAGATAGGAATGTATATTTCAATTGACTTGCTAAAGGGAAGACCACCTTCTGGCCTGAAAATTTGCCATCTAATTGGCTAGGTCATGACTTCTTAAAACCAAGTAGAAAAATTCTAGAGATGGGGAAAAGCTTTAGGTCAAGCAGTGTCTTCCTTCCACCTCTAGCAGAGAAATGGTCTGCCAGCCTCTCAAATAACAGGAACTTTACAGATATTTCTACAGTAGTAAGAAGGAAGGCTGTCTAATTTGGATTACTTAATACCTGTTTTCATGTTGACCTTCTTTAATCAAAACATTACAAGAAAAATTAACAGTACCTTTTTTCCCTGTACAGTTCTACCACAACTTGTTTTCTGAGCATGCTGTTAGAGCAAATTTTTATTTGTTGATACATATACAAACAGTATCGTTATGAAAATTGAACAGCAGATATACTCACCAGGAAACTGATTTTTGCATTTCTCTGCTCTACCAACAGGGTAACAGTTTTTTAGCCCTATCAGGACTTGAGATGTACAGGGTGTGCACATGCTAAAACCAGAGAGTTGTACCTGTTCTGTCAAAACAAAAACCCGCAATCAAAAAAGTGTAATTACCTTTCTTTAACAACTTGACAAGTTACCTAAATACCTAAGAGGTGAAGTACTCTCTATGAAACCTTCATATACTAATTTTTAAACAAATACAATACCATGAGAGATAATGCTAACATTTCAGTGATCACCCTTATTTATGAACTGTACAGTAACTTCCATAATAAAAAACTGCCTATTAGAGAAGGGTCCTTAAAAGCTTCTACAATTATAAGGAAAATTCTAAAATATTGGAATCTTCTCATGTTCTAAACAAACAAGACTATCAAGACTCACATGAATGGATCTATTCAGAAGTAATTTGAATCTATAAGAAATGCATTTTATTTCCCTTTCCTATATTTCAGTCACAATCTGAGACCAAGCATAAAAAGAATAGTAAAAAAATTAAGAATTTGAGAATGGCCAGCAGAGTAAAATGTGATATCCTAACACTGCAAAGTTAGCTGCAGCGATTTTTGCATGTATTTTGCCTCTACACCACAGAGAACTTTTCAGCTTATTCCTCTGTGCCTCTACTCTGTGGTCTGGCCAACACAATGGCTAGATATTAACACAATTCTGAAAGTCAAAGCTATAGGGAATAATTTCATTACCTTCAACAGAGTCATTTTATTCTTGTCAAAACTCTGAACACAAGTTGTTCAAACTGTGCCAAGAGCAGAAGTGGTTAACAGAAAACGTTTCTGTATGTTTACAGTGAGATGCAGCTGATGGCCCAACAGTTGGCAATGGCCACTCCAGACATTCAAGAGGTGAAGAACATATTTGCACAGAGCAGGAAAATGCCATGCAAAAACTATGAGACTAAAGTGAACTTCTGGAGATTCAAGTGGAATACCTCGAGGCAAGTGAATCCTATCCTTTACTGTGCTCATAAACTTGTAACAGTGACTTACTAGTATAAAGCAATTAATTTGTTCTGAACAATAATCAGATCCAGCATAGCTATATAGGAGGATAACGTATTGTATAAAGTGACTGCAGCCTAAAATGATCCAGATCTCCTATACAAACAAACAACCCAGCAATGTGCACCTTTTGGCTTTGAGCCCAAGAGTCATGTTTTACTGATTGTTATGATCTGGCCTTTGAGCTCTGGTGACAGTCAAATAGGGACTTACAATGCACCAGCCTACAAATTCCAACAAAGATGTCATGAAATCGGGGATGCTTCCTGATGAAGGAAATTCTGAATTTATCTGAGTGCTTAATCAGTAATTCTCTGTACATTTATAATGTCTTTTATCCAAGCAACTTGAAGTATTTGACTACAAAGTGTTTCATAGCTTCTGAAGAGTAGAAAACAGTGAAAGGGGTTCTAGGACATATGATAATTCAAATATATGTAGCTACTATATTCCACGAAAAATCTCCCACACTCAACAAAAAGACTGTGGGTAGGAGGAACAAATGAGAGACAATGAGTCATCCACAATCAAAACAGAGTTTAGGCTTCCTAAAGTGAAAAAGGACCATTAGAAAATATTAAGAAATTGAACACTGTAGTTTTCTTTTAGAGAAAAGGCAAAAATAGCAATGGACAGATTAAAAAAGAGCCTCTGAGAATACCATAGCATGGAAGCACAATGGTCTTTGTGTGGGTAATCAACAACCACTATAAGCACTGCTCGGGCCTTTGCTTCTGATGAACACTGTTGAGCAACTCTGTCTCATCTCCAGAAGCTTTCAACACTCATACCATTTAGTCCCTTTCTTTTCTCACAGTGTTGTAGCTTCATATATTTCTCTTCACCATTAAAACAAGGATTCACATTTAATAAAGACTAGGAAAATAGAAAGTATTTTCAGCAGGTAGAAAAAGAAGACTTCTAGTTAAAAAAAACCAAAAAACTTTGGCCTTTTCAGACTGATTAATTACAGTTTTAAAAAAGGCATAAGTTTTCTTATCATTTATTTAGATGTTTTCTGTCCAGGTAAATATATGCTCCTTTTGTTAGAAGTGCTGCTCTGTAAGTACTGAACATTAACAATCATATGCAACACATCACTAGCAATCCCACAGTGTAAGTGAATATTCATATGCATTCACATTTCACACATTAAAAGAAAAAGTTAAATTAATGCTTCAGCTGCATTTTAAATTCTGGTTTAGCTGTAATTGATAAAAATGGATAATTTAAATCTATTTACCAAGTTACGATTGAAAACATTCATATTTCACAGTAACCAATACACTCTGGTATTTTACCAAAACATGGTGCACCTGAAAAACAAAACTTGCCCATTTCTTTAGCTGTCAGCTCTTTGCCACTGTGGTGGCCAAAATAAATCTGCAAATTTCCCAGCTATGAAGTATTTATTTTTATTTTTTTTAATCCTATTGTTTAGGTGAAAACACTTCTCACTATAGTGAAAATTAAAAATACTGGTTAGTATCTTACACATAAGTATCTTTCAACACTGAATTTTTAGCTACAGGTAGCAAATTTTAAATAGCTGCTGAGGGCACTACTGTAGTTGAGGTAACTTCATTAATTAAAATACAAAATATTATTCTGGATAGTTTTAAACTTAGGCATTAGTTCAAAACAAACAGAAGGTAAAAATACCCAAATGTGTCTGAAATAATGGTCTCTCAATATTCCTAATTTCCAGATATGATAATACTGTAATTCTTTAAACTTTAATGTGCATTAGCTGGACTTCCACTGGCGGGTATTATATTTAGCAATGGTCCCACAGATTTAGCAGTGCCCCACAGATCTGGGCAGCATTTGCAGTAATACGCACTCACTGCTACTCCCACTTTGCAATGTGGGCATGGGCTGGCTACCAAAAGGAACAGGCCAGAAGCCACTTGAAATTCTTCCCTACATGAGCACAGAGTTACACAGCTAAGGTAATAACTTTGTGACTGCAGAAATGGAAAAGTGTTATATCCTAGCACACTAACTGAAGCCATGGGGCTAGAAAAACTTGGACGACACTGTATGGTGTGTTCAAGAAATTAGTTGGCTTCTTTTATTGATGTAGGAAGAGCATCAATTACTGAAAATCTACCCGTAAAATGCACTAAACCAATACAAATGTTTATAAATTATAAGGTGTAGGAATGTTATGAGCTTAGAGGCAAAATATACCTTCAAAATACAAGATTCAAATATGTTCTGTAAACAATGTTGCACCCCTTTTAATTCTATGTGCTGTTAGGAAGAAGATAAACTGGATACATTTTATGTTTTCTCTCTGTAACTGCTAGCATTTTTTTCTTTTCTCTGCCTTGACAGATTGCTTTTCTTTTCCTCCTAACCATTTTCTGCCTTTCTCAACAATGCTGTAATAAAACTGACATATCTGAGACTTCATTTTCATCTCCTATTGGACAGTGAGAAATGAAACCCATCTGAACTTTGTTTTTAATGCACAGAGATTTCTCAAGAGCACAGCAGAAGCACCACCCTCTCTAGAGAGACACACCTTTTCTTCTTGCTGGAAGGCTATCTTTTCTAGAAAAATGTCTGCCTAGGACTTAAAGAAACTGCATGTGCAGCCATTGCAAACCCAAGAAATTTATCTACTCAAAAGTGCAATCTCATAGGCAAGAATTCTATGATAATCTTCAATACAGCTGTAATACACTCTACTATATACTGATTTACATCTTTTCCATGCTTAACTCTCTGGCAGGTAGATAAGGTGAAGCCCAATACAGAGGTACCCTGCCCTCCCTAACTACCAAGAGTAACACAAAATGCTTAATATTTCATCAAGCAGAATTTAGTCCACTCCATCCTATCCATGTAACAGTACCCTGTAACAGTGCCTCAAGGTATATGAAATACACACCTTATCAAAAAAGCTGACAGGTACATGATTTAGGTCAAAAGTGGGAAAAAACTTTTGTTTCACTTAGCATTGTCTTTTCACCCCAGCTTAATGACTGCATAATTAATACACAAGCACAGGAACGAGAATGTAGCTCTTCCTACTCTTGTGCAAGTGGATGAATCACAAAGGTATCTCTTCTGGCTCTTTTATTCCAGACTGAGGGAAGAGCCAGTTCTACCAGGAGTTGATACTGTGGCTTACTACACCCTTCTTCACAGCTGTTGTACAGCTCAAAATAGCTTTTAAAGTATACCAGATACAAATCTGAATCCTCCCAGACTAAGGTGTGCTTAAAACCTTCATCTTTCAGCTCTTCAACAATCACGTAACAACCCCACTGGACAAATATAGGCATTATCTCTTCCAGGATTATACACAATACTTGGACATGTCCCTTTTGAACACTACATCATCTGCTTACTACTTTGAATGATACACTACTATAGCTTCTGCTTGAAAAGTTGCCTGTCAGTTTGCTTTAATGTCAAGGGAAATATGTTTTTGTTGTCAAACACAGCACAGAATTTTAATGTAATTAGTCCTTGAGATTTTTAGTTTGGCTCTAGACCTTACTCTGTGTTAAGGTATTCATCATTTTACAGAGAAATGTATTTCAGATGTTCATCTGTTTTTGATGTTTGATTACAGCAGCTATACTCTTGTACACCATGAATGATTCTATACTGAATAACATACACAATATATTTTTTTCAAGTGACTGTAATAGGTGAGTGAAGAATTATTTCTTTCCCTAAAGAAGAGTAGTACAGCATATTGGTACCTTCCTCTTACAGACAGAACCACAGAAGGCTGATGACATCCAACAGCTTATGCCTATGATTTGGTCAATAGAGACACTGGAAATAATAGCTAGCACTTTTGAAAGAGCATGCTTCCCAGTAGTCATTACCCTTTGCCTCAATTTCCAAAGGTGTTATCAGTTATGAACATTATAGCAGTAATTGAATTTGCTTTTTATGATCATAGCAGGTCCTTACTGTAATACACAGAGAACTGCTGCTGGCATTATCATAATTCTTCTAACTTTGAGATTAGATTAATGCAATAAAACTTCACCTTAAAAGAGAAACTTGGAGAGTACTACAGGTTACATGATACAAGAAGGGCTACCTAGATGAAAACACAGCTGAAGATAGGAATTTCTTCTTGTTGTCCAGATAGAAGTCAAGACATTGGGTAGTTACCAAAAGAACCTTACAAGACCTCAAGACCTAGTTATCTTGAAATAGACTAAGCAGCCTCTACCTCCCTGCCCCCCGCCCCCTTCCCAATACCAACACCACACAACCTCTCCCCCATATCCACAGAACCTGTTTACCCAGGCCTGTTACCATGTCCTCCCCCCAGCCTTCCTTCCCCATGGGAAAGCTGTAAAATTAAGAGAGTGCAAAAGTGTTTCTACTGTCTTAATAGATCAGGCTGTAGTCATGCCAGTCTTGATGGGAGCTATGGTTTCTCACAGCTCTTTAACCTGAATTAATTCAACTTTCTTCTCCCAGAAATTGTTAAAACGCCCTTTTTTGCAATGCAGGAGTGTGGGAAGGTAAAGGGAGAGAGGAGAGCATAAGGTATGCTGAGAGGGGCTTTCAGGTAGCATTTTTTTGTGGTTTTTGCTGTGTACTTGCTAAAGAAAGATACCATGTTGATTAGCCTATTTGAAACCAATGATGAGCTTTTTGCATTTTATTAAAACATTCCACTTTTCCAAGGAAAAAGCATTTTTTTCTAAAGCTGAGAAAAAAAAAGCTTCTGCTTTTTTCTAAAGACTTAAATTCAGAGTTTTGAAATATCTATAGAAAAAATTAAGGATGAGAACTTTTCCTGTCATTTATGCCTAATTACACGGGCAGCTTCATCACAAAGCTTTGCCTCCATTTCTGTATTGTTCCAACTGAGAAAATAATTCAGCTTAACAACCGAGCAAACTAGAGCCTGAATTTTGCATTGCACTGGCATGAGTGATTCCACAAGTGTTGGTGTGGACCATCTCAGCTGTCACTAAATAAGCACAAAATACTTTAGGACAAACTATATTGTTCCTATTAGCAGATTACTAGTGTTACTACACAACTTGTGCTGGTATTTCTTACCTTGTATTACCTACGTACATTCAAGCACTAGAAACTCTTTATGTGCAGGAAGCAATAATGAAGTGGTATGGGAACAGCTGCACCAAATCTGCTGAAAAGTCTTCATATGCTATTTTTCCTGTGAGAATCAACAGTCCATAACAATTATTCTAACATCATCTACGTTCATCTAATTTTAAAAGGAAAGCTTGCTCTTCAGCAGATACCATTAATAAATTGGAAGGATTTGACAGCATGCTTTCTCAGGGTTAAAAAGAGCCTTCACTTACCAGTTAAAAATTAGCAAGCAAAGGAAATGTATCCTTGTCCAGACTGGTCTACAAGAAGCAAAACGATGGCAATTTCATTAAGCACGTAAAGTTGTATTTCAACCTGTCACAACCTTAAAACAAGGTTGGAATAAAGCAAATGCAATCATGTTACCAAATACAAACCACACTGTTTTGTTATCTATACACATACTGCAGTGTGCTATGGGCATGCTATTGATGAACTAAGAATCTATATTTAAAATAATGGTTTGTAACACTGTTACTCTTTGATAACAAGGGTAGTATTTTCTTACTAAAGATACAATTTTTTAAGGATAGAAGCAGTAAAACCGACTTACCTTACATAAGCTGTTAATTTCTACTAATGTAAACAAATCCCTGAAATGACATAAAAACTCCAATGTCCAAACAGAGTTCTATCTACCTTTATAGAGGGGGAATATACAATGAACACTGGACATAATGCAATAATTCAAGGCATTCTTACTGTTAAGAGAACTACACGTTCTCTACATTTTTGTCACATCTTTCAGGAAAAGCAGAGTTAACACTGCTTGACAATACCCAATGACATTGTACACCTGTCAAGATGACGTGTCTCTGTTTCTTTTTAGTTTAGGAAGCATTGTTCATTGCCATTAACCTAACATTGAAAGTATCTTCAAAAACCGTGCAGTATGTATTGAAATGCATTTGAATTTTTTACGGATTTCAAGCAATAGCTAGACTTTATACTTAGTCCTATGAAATATGACTGTTTTCAGCGAGCTACGTGAAGAATGCAGCGATTTTCATCCAGCTTCGTAACAACAGCACTGCCAAGCTACCGCGAACTGCCTCCAAGCTCTTAAGTGCTAAATACCAAGAGCACCGAGTAGCTGCGCGGGGAAGGAGGAATACGTACAAGCAACAGCGTCGCGCTGCTTTGCCTCTGCGGCTACAGTGGATGGAGCACGTGAATTTTGGTTCTGGCTGCTGGACACCGCTGCTCCCGTCACGTCTCCCATCCAAACCCGTCAAACAAGCCACGGCTGATGCCAAAACGCGGCGCTGCCCTACAGGCAACAAGGGCGGCGCGCAGCCCTGCCGGAGAGGCTCGGGCGGAAAGGAGCTCAGCGGGCCGGGATCCGGCCCGGGCTGCCGGCCGGGGCAGGCGCTGCGCACTCGGGGGAAAGGGTCGGCCCTGCCCGCCCGGGGCAGCGCCAGCGCGGACGGACCCCGAACCTCTCCGCACCCCGCCCGCCGATACCCGACGCTCCCGGGACCCCGCGGACGGGGGCTCCCGGCAGCCCCGCTTCTCCCTCCTCGCCCCGGCGAGGAGCCGGTCGGCGGCATGCTGCCGGGGCGTTCCGGCGGCTCCTCCGGGGCTCCGCGCTCCCCGCCCGGCCCCGGGACCGAGCGGGAGCCACTCCTCGCGCCGTCCGCGCCGCCCACCGCCCGCGCGCGCAAGCGCGGCCGCGGTCCCCGCGCACACCTGCCCCCCTCCCCGCCCCGCCGCCACGCGACACCGGGGCCGCGCGCAGCGGCGAGAGCGCGCGCGCCCCGGCGCGGCTCTCCCCGCCCCCGGGGTGCACGTGACGCGTCCCCGCCCCGGAGGTGCCGCGACGCGACTTTGTTTGGGAGAGTTCCGCGCGCGCGCGCGTGTTTCCGCGCGGCGGGGCCGGGCGGGAGCCGCACGGGAAGCCGGCTATCCCCCCGCCGCCGCCCCGGGCCCCTGGAGCGGAAGGGAGGGAAGGAGGGAGGGAGGGACAGCTGTGGCTCCGCCAAGCGGCGCTACCGCCGCCGCCGGGCAGCGCCCGCCCCGCCTCTGGTCCCGCCCCCGGCGTGTCCCACCCCCGTGGGCCCTGCCCCCTCCCCTCCTGCCGCCGCCGCCGCTGCTGCCAGCGCAGCCTGAACTGAAGCGAACTCCGGAGCGAACTGAGGAGAAGTGAGGAGGCGGCGGCGGGGCTGAGACTCAGCAGCCACAGGCGGCGGCGGCAGCAGCGGCAGCAGCAGCAGCAGCAGCGGCGGCGGGAGGGCGGGCGGGCGGGAGGCGGAGAGGAGGAGGAGGAGGACACACGCCAGGCGCAGCGCGGCGGCAACAACAGCAGCAGCGGCGGCAACAGCGGGGAGACACCGGCGGCGGCTCCTCGGAAGCGGCAGCCGCGCCAGCAGCGCCCGCCCGCCCCGCGCGTCCCCTCCCTCCCTCCCCCGCCGCGGAGACAGGGGGCAGCGCCGAGAGGAGAACCGGGCTCGGCGTGTGTGTGCGCGGGAGGAGGAGGAGGAGGAGGGGGGACACACCGAGGACTGCGCCGGCCGAGGGCGCACGGAGCAGGGGAGCGGCGGCGGCACCGAGAGGCGGCGGCGGCGGGTTCTTGTGCCCGGAGAGGAGGGCGCAGCCCGCACGGGGGTTTCTACCGAGTTTCCTTTTTT